TATCAAATGAATATTTCGACTTAAACTACAAGCTTGTTATTTAACATTTAAAATCGGAAGCATGAATGAAATTGCTGGATCGTCATGATTTTGGACATATGATGCGCAGTCATCAGTGACCAAGTTGCATTTGGTCAATAAATGCGCACTCGAAATGGCACATTGTTTTCTTATCTTCCTATTCTTCTCTTCATTTCTTTGACAAAGAACAGAAGAAATTCTATAAATCTCAACTGTAAATACAATTGCCTGTCTAACTAACAATCATATTCATCAAAATGAAGGTGACCATAATCACCAGAAAATACATCAAACCTTGCAGCCCAACCCCTCCAAACCTCAGGCGCTACAAATTATCCGCCTTAGATGAGATCCTACCACCCATGAACATGAGCGTCATTCTCTTCTACACGCCAAACCCCAAACCCGACCCGACTATCGACCCACAACAAACTCTCCCTCGTGTCCTCACCCGATTCTACCCTTTCGCCGGACGGTACCTCAAAAACGACCTCTCGGTCGACTGCAACGACGAGGGCGCCGAGTTCGTCGAAGCCGAGGTCCCCGGCCTCGACCTCGCGACCTTTCTCTCGAAGACCGAGAACGACGGCCTCGACTGCCTCCTCCCCCGGACGACTTACGACCGCGTCGACAATCCCGACGACCCGATACTCTCTGTTCAAGTCACTAATTTCCCCGAATGCGGCGGCCGGGCCGTCGGCATCAGCCTCTCGCACCGAATCTCCGACGCGTCCACGCTCGGGACATTCGTCTCCGCATGGGCCCACGCGTCCGACTCGGAAAAAACCGTCCTCCCGACTTTCGACGGGCCGTCGATTTTCCCCGGCACGGGCCTCGCGCCCGAATTCGCGCCGCCGAGGAGCGTCGCGGTCCGCCGGCTCCAGTTCGGGCGGGAGGCCGTGTCCCGATTGAGATCCGTGCTCGGGCCGGAATCTCGGGTGCGCGTGGCGAGCGCGGTCGTGGCCAAGGCGTTATTGAGAATCGAGGCCGCGAAGAACCGCGGGGGATCGTTGAGGGCTTGCTACTTGGGGCAAGGGGTGAACATGCGGTCGAGGACGGTCCCGCCTCTCGGGAGCCACGCGTGCGGGAATTTCGTGTATGAGGCGGTGGCACGGTGCATGGAGGCTGGCGCTCGGGAGCCAGGGCTCGACGAGTTGGTTCGTGTGGTCGGGGGATCGATAGAGAAGGCGGTTGAGGACTGTGGGAGGATGATGTGGTTGGATGGAGAAGGGCGCGTGGAGATGGTGAGAGGGCCGTTGGAGAAAGTGTTTGAGACGTTGGCGAGCGGGGATAATGTGGCGTTGTGGTTTACGGATTGGAGCAAGTTTGGGTTTTACGAAGCGGATTTCGGTTGGGGGAAGCCGGGTTGGGTGCGGGTGGGGAAGGTGTGTACGGAGAATCTGACGGTACTTATGGACGATAGAGCGGGCGGGGGAATTGAGGCGTGGGTGCATCTAAGCCATGAGGACGTGCCTTCCTTTGAGAGTGATGATGATATCAAGTTGTTCTTAGTTGCCTAACATAACTTGTAATTGATTCACAATTGCGTGAGTGAATTAATGTTTGGAGGTTTTTTTTTTTTTTTTTTTTT